CTGAAGTTTCTCGGAAAGAATTTCTACAGGAAATTAACAAACAAGCAGATATGCAACACTACTTTATAGGAAAAAAATAATAATGTATTTGTTTTTCATTACTGTTCGAGCTTTAAATGTGAAGGTGACGAGTGTAGCAATAGGAACCTTCGAGAAGATAAAACCTTAAGGTCTACTCTTCAAACATTTCGTTATATAGAAAAATTATATGAAATCATTATCTATAATTTCTTGCTAGGATAAAAAAGACGACATTTTAATTGGATAAGAATGAAACCTTATCTATTGTAACACACACACACACACACCTATGTCAACAATGATTAGTACCTTTCAATTTAAATTAATTGGTCCCTGGTGGGGCAGCGGTACGTTTACGGATTTAAAACGCTAAAATATTGGGTTCGATTCTCCGCGGTGGATAGAATGCAGATAACTCATTGTGTAGCTTTGCACGAAGAAAACAGTAACCATCATTTCAATTAATTAAAAATTACCACTATCTTTAGCTTAACATTCCAACCTGAACCTACTTAACTTAGGATGCAACTCGAAAGCCTGACGATAAAAACTCTGGCATTTGGTACTAAAGCTGACTTCAGTGCAAGTTTAGTTCAAATAAGTATGTAAGTAAATGTGTAAAAAAATATACTTGAATAAAAAATGGGAATTCATTTGAATATGCAAATTTTGAACCAGACCAGCTGCTGCATCCAAAAACATAACATTAGAGCCTGTTTCTCCTTTGACTGCAGCTATTTGCGTGATATATTTCAGAATTATTTCACAGCGCGCAAATATTTCATATTCATTACTAAACTATTGATTTAAAATACACGTAAGGCCGCGAAAAGTAACACATAATTCATATGGGCAGAAGTGTTAGCATTAAAAGCATTGTGAACGTGCTTATATATCTGATTTTATAAAAGAAAGTTAATACTGATTCACTTTTCATAACAATTTGGTAAATATATCATAACTCAAGTAAAACCAATATTTTATTTGAAGTTAAGCACAGAGCTAAACAATAGACTATCTGTGCTCTGCCCACCATGGGTATCGAAACCCGGTTTATAGCGTTGTAAGTCCGCAGACATCCCGCTGTGACACATGGGAGGCCAACAAATATTCATCCATAACTAAAAACAATTAATCTATTTTCACGATATCTGAAGTTATCTGTATGTTTACATAGAGGTAATAGTTGAATGTCATGGTTTATGGGCGTTCAAGACAGCCAAGAAATGAGCGTACTAGAAGAACGTTCGTGTAAAAGAAACATGAACACCGCATTCGTGTCACTCGAAATAAAAACAAAAAACTTTGTTACTTGGCAACGAAAAGTGGAATACTTGTCTCATTTCTCTTGGGAAACCATCTCTAAATTGAAATCTCTCTTGACGTTTAATCGATTAGTGAGCAGAGAAAAGATGGCGTGTGTTCATTCGGTAAATATTTAGTTACTCGATGTTACTACACACATAAAGAACTTAGTAAAACACTAAACATGAAGAAATGACCAAATTATATACAAATCTTACGCCATTCTAAGTTTTTTAAAATAAATTGGAACTAATAGAATAATGAATCTTTTCTTTTTCAGCTTAATTACAAAAAAGTTTTATGCGCGTTACATCATGTTGGCTGTGACACGAAAAAGAACACGACTGATTAATAATAATACATTTAAAATTCACCTAAACAATACATCTAATACATCAATATACATATAAGAATAAAACAGTATACGAATATTTGTAAAATATTTTGAAACAATTTATTCCTGTTAATTTAAAACAAATAAATAAAACCGCATATACATAAAAGCATAATATAACGGTTTCGTAACATCCAAGATACGCTTGAGTTTCTTCAGTAAAGCCTTCTTGAGCAATGCCCACTTAACGATGTAAAACTTCCCGCGTTTTAAACTCCCTCTGTGGGTTAAACTATGTAACATTTAATATGATTTTCAAGTTTATTAATAAAATAACATTAAATAATTTCATATTCTTTTCACAAGCAGATACGAAACCGATATTTATGCTTTTATGTAAGTGTGCTTCTATTTATTTGTTTTAAATTATCGGTAACAAAGAGTTTTTAAAATATCTTTAGAATTATATTTATGTTATTCTATCGTTATTAATCACTTCCCTGAGCAAAATATATTTGATTCCTAATATATTTGATATATTTCACATTTCAGATTTGTAGTTTAATAATGATTTTGATTAATAATATGATGTTTTTATATCAAAACATTGATGAAGAACAATATATTTATTAATATTAATTCATTCTACAATAAGTCTTTAAATTAACTGGTAACAATTTACAATTTTATTTTAGATTAAAATATTTTGTTTGAGTTAACCCAAGGCTACTAATGGGAGTTGTCTTGTGAATGTTTTTAGTTGAAAATCGAATCGATGATCGAAACGCAAACACTTAAGTTTTAAAAAAGTTAAGAACAGAAATAAATCAAAGTTTAAAAGTTTTTATTAGGGTTCTGAACAACTGATTTAAGTTGAACTTTCTTATTTGAATTAAGATGAAGAAATCGATTGAAAAGTAGTTGTTATTAACAGATATCAGTAAGCTAAAACGACGTCTGTCTAGTAGCGGGTTTTTAGCCGCGGCATAGTGGCTCATAGAATGGCTCTGAGTTTTTTTTTGTTTTTGTTTTAAGTACAAACTTTTAGCTCATAGCACCGTCATCTCTTGACCGATTTTAGACCTAATTACGGTTTAAGACTCAGGAGATCAAACCTTTTCGATTTATGTATTTGACCACATCCAAGGTTTCATATATTAATTTACTCTAACCCTGCCTAAAAGAATTTCAATTTGAGGGTAGGCTGATATAGATCCTGATGAGTAATAAAATTAAATCGGATATACACGCACTCCACGCTTGGTGTTGGTGGCGCACAAAAATATAGCTAATAAAAAGAAAAAGAAGAGTATTATAGTTTAATTTACTACAATTCTGCCTAAAAAAAATTCAAGTACCGCGGCTATTTTAGATTCCCTCTTGTTTTTATAAGTAAGTATATTTTTACCCTTAAAAAAATGCAAGATAACAATTTAAAGATAAAACAAAATGATTTGGCCAAGAAAAGAAAATAAGGATTTCACACTTGAAAATACAGATGCAAATAAATAGATGACAGATAAATTTACTCTGATCTTGCTTAAAAGATTTTCAATTTGAGGATAGGCTGGTAGAGATCCTGATGAGCAATAGAATCGAATCGAGTATACACGCGCCCCACGTTTGGCATTGCTGGCGTCCAAAAATATAGCTCATAAAGAGGGAAAATAAAAGATCTCATAGATAAGTTTATTCTAATCCCGCATTTTAATCTATTATTCCCTCTTGCTATGCTCAAACGTAGGCGCATGTCTCAAATTATTTTGAGTATTAAAATAAAAACAGCAATTCGACTTCGCGTAATATAAATGACATCTTTAGAATTTAACAATAACATTTTTGTGATTGTAAACACTTGAACTTTGTTTTTCAAGTTACTTGTATGTTTGTGCTTTGTTTTTATCATGTTCCTGATGTTGTCTTTTTATGTTTTTAGAACGGAATCTTGCTACCGCTGTGTTGTGATTCATGAAAAACACATCAATGTTCTTCAATATAAGGAAAGTAAGTATAGTTTTAAAATAAACTGCCTGTATATTTGCCAAAATCTTATAAATTAAGGGAATACGTATAAAACCCCGGATTTTAGCCTCTTAATTCCGTAAACTTACTTCCTGATCCACTGGCGAAGACTAATGGGAGAATCAAATCAATGACTCATTATAAGATTTCTGGCAAGTAATCGTTATTAAGACAAGTAGAAAGTTGTAGATGAGTAATAAAGTGCTTAGGTAAGTTTGGTGAGTAATAAAGTGCTTAGGTAAGTTTGGTGAGTAATAAAGTGCTTAGGTAAGTTTGGG